TAATGAGAGATTAGTAGCAAAAAATAAAACAACAACAAGACAACTTGATAGAACAATGGGCAGAAAATATGGGCACAAGATATAATAAACAAGCATTAAAAAAAGAAAACACGAATGGCCTATAAACATATCAAAAAATATTCAACCTCTAAAGTAATAAGGAAATTTTACTTAAAATCTCAATAAAGTACTATTTTACACAAAGCAAATTGATTTTAAAAATGGGGAAATATGATTATTCTGATGATGGCGATATGCAGCAATAGAAACCCGCATATACACTGCTGATGTGAATGAGAATTTTGGAAAACAAGAATGTGGCATTTATCTAGGGAAGTCAAACATGAACACATGCTATGGCTCAGCAATTTTACTTATAAGAAAATCATTCCACATTCACACAAGGAGATGTGTACAGGAATACTCATAACAGCATTATTTATAATAACAAAAAATTAGACATAACCTAGTGTCCATTGAGAGGAGACTAGATCCATCATTTATAGACTATTTACACAGAGGAATACTATATAGCAGTTAAAATTAGCCAATTGTAGCTGCACTTATCAGCATGGCTACATCCCAGCAAATCACAAGAATTAAACAACACAGTTTGATTTATATAAAGTCATCTCACTAAATGATGTAATTTCATTTAAATAAAATGTTCTTACCTTTGTTTACAGTTAAATACATGTAATAAAAACCTGTATAGAAAATAAGGAAATGGTTAATACAAAATTTAGGACAATAGTAATTCTGAGATAAAGGGAGAGATTTGCAATGGTAATGGAACAAGTTAGAGGGTTAAAGGGCCTTGGTGACATTCCTTTTCTTAAGTTTGAAGGGGGCTACAAAGATGAGCATTCTTTATTGCCACTCATTAAAATGTGCATAAATGGTATATGCCTTTCGTTTATATTACATGTTTCACAATAAAACAAGTTTAAAAAATAGAGAGTGAGAAGATGGAAGTGGTGATGCTGAGTGCAGCAGCTCTCTGGAGGCTTCCTGGAGCACAGGGAGGTGAGGTAGTCGGGAATGGCGTATAGAATCGACAGGTGCGGTTGTCTGTGGTTATAAAGAGTGAAAGATTTTTGAGATGATGTGAAAGCATCAATAAAGGAAAAACTGATGAGGTACCAGATAGAAGCAGTACTTCCAAGAACAAAGGCCTTGATTAGGCAAGAGGAAACGGGATCCAAGACAAAAATGGAAGGATTAGTATTAAACAAGGGCAGGGACTGATCATCCTTTGGGATTAGAAAGAAAAATAGTGTGGGTATGTGCCGGTGAGGTGGTAGAAAGGTGAGGTAGTCTAGGCTGCGTCTATGTTCTCTATGAATTTCTCAACAGCATCTTACCTCTGTGCTGCAGTGTGTTTAAGGAGGAAAGAGAATTTGGAAACCAGTCGTCAGGAGAATGGAAAGCAACTTTGCCGGGTCTATGATAATATTGCTGGCCAGTGCTGAGGGCTCTCTTTAAGTCCTGTGATCAACATCAGAAGTGAGATCTGCACCAGAACGGGGGTCTTCCTCCAGTTTTGATGGCTGACCAGTTGGCCGGCATAAAGTACATGTGGTGCTTTGGCAGATATACTGGGTTGAATTGTGTTCCCCCAAAAGACATGTTGAAGCCCTAACCTTGGACCTGTGAATGTGATCTTATTTTAAAATAGGATCTCTACAGATGTAATCGACTTAAGGTAAAGTCATATTGGAGTAGAGTGGGCCCCGAATCTGATGAATTCTGTCCTCATAAGAAGAGGGAAATTTGGAGATAACGAGGCATATAGAGAGGGAAGATAGAAATCTGAACATAACAGCAGAAATTGGAGTGATAGCGCTGTCAGCCAAGGAGTATCAAAGATTGCTGGCAATTATCAGACTCTAGGAGGAGACAAGGAAGGATTCTTCCCAAGAACCTTCAGAATGAGATTCTGAGGGTCCTGCCAACATCTTGATTTTGAATTTCTAGCCTCCAGAACTGTAAAAGAATGAATTTCTATTGTTTTTCTCTACCTCACAATTTAAAGGCAGCCCTAGGAAACTAATATAGCAGGTAACTATGAAAACAGAAAATAAGTGAGTGATTTAACTATGGCTCATTTATATATAAGATTGGTGAGAAGTAAAGGGAGGACACATGGAAGATCTTGAGCAATGCAAAGGCGGTAAGATCAAAGGAATTAAAGTATTAATGGAGTCAGATATTATTTAGAGGGAGTTTTTGAGTAAGTAAGCTGTAAAGGGAAGAAATGGTACTGGAGAATACGAGTTTTGAAATCGAAGTTCTGACAGTAAAGGAAAAGTCCAAGGATATATAGGTAGTAATGATCAGAGAAATGGGGTTTCTAGGTTCCTGAAGTGAGAAGGTGAAGGAAATGAGAGATCACGTGGTTGTACGGATTGGGAGTATCAGTGCCCCCAACCCTGATTAAATATTAGAATATCTTAGAAAGCTTGTAAATCTACCATTATCGAGGACTCTGTAGCC